CACTTTACTGGAAACTTTATTAACTAGTAACTTCATCAGTCATGACAGAAGCTAATATTTCTGTGCTAACATCGTTTAAACAGTAACAGCTTTACTACAATATATGCTAACGTTTACATCGTAACTTTAAGCTAGCACCATAAAGACGGTAAAACACGTAATAATATCTACAAATGCATCTTAAAGCTGTTATATTAGCACTCGGTGTATTACTAACATAACCACATTAACATTATTGACACTCGCTGACTTTTAATAGTCATTCTATAAATGCTGTCCGTTTAAACGGTCTTACCTGTAAACACTGCTGTATCCACCGGATTCCAGCCAGAGTGGATTCTGGAGTATTCCACGGTCCGGTTAGTGATCCTCCATCTGGATGGATGATAACAATCTTCTAGCAGGAGATGGCCCATATCTATGGGACTGATTTGTGCTAATAACGCCCATTGTATGGACTGGCGAATAAAGTCACCCAGTCGCTAGCTGTGCCATTACCCAGCATACACCACTCCTTCCATCAATGCAATAAATGATAAAAAAGTAATAGCCTATAATTAATTTATCTGCTGTTTCTCAGGTAGTTGTTGACATTATATAATGTATTGTGTTCTGTATACGTCACTACAATGTGATTTCGAAAATATATAAATATACGGACAACAGGCTCTTCCGCGGCAATCTCTTGTCGTCAATAAGCAACGTATAGGGAGCTCTATAGTATTCAATGAGAGGACCCTGCGCGTCGATAAGTGAAGCAGAGGGAGCCTGACCATGCGTCACACATTTGACGAGTTGGGAGTGAGAACGTGTTGAATAAAAAGGTTATTTGACGTATGATGGTTCTTTAAAGAACCATGAAGACATCTGAAGAACCATTTAAGAACCATAATTTTTCTGAGAGTACCGGTGAGAATGACGTTGCTAGCTGGCAGTTTTTTAAAGCGATGTTGAAATTTCCACATTCAGACACTTCAAATGCTTCAGTTGCTGTCCGCTCAGCACAGCATCAGCACCACGGAAATACACGGATACATCCGTAGACTCGAGACAGAATTCACAATGCGTTTTCTGGACTTTCAGGTGTATGGACCAATGTTTTCTTTTCTAATCAAACCCGAAAGGTTTAATGAGCAGCTGGATTTGTCTCGCATTAACTGGCTAGACACAGAGGACATCGGAATGCAGCTGATTGAACTGAAAAGCTCGACTCTGTGGGGGTCAAAGTCTTTTTAGAACTACGAGCGCAGCTGGAATCCATAGCTGTGCGGAGCTTCCAAATGTGTTTTGCCAGAATCTGGCGGGTCCTTCAGCTGGAACAAGTCACGTCGGGGCAGTATATCCACGTACCAATCAGAGAACAGGTATAGAGCTGGATCCAGTATACACCTCAAAATGCTGCAGGGCTAACATGGCTGGTACCACCAAGGCACGGCTAGTGAGGCTTCTGAAAGCCTGCTTCAGGTATGCTTTTATCAACACCTGACAAGGTGTGGCCAATTAGCACCAGCTGAACACACTGAGCAGATTAGAGGCTGCAGGGGGATGTAACTTCCATTTCCCCACTGATTTCCTGCAGGACCCACATGAACATCAGTTCAGAGCAATGTTCTCTTTAATTTTTAATGTGTCTGTCCTGCTCACATCTCCAATGGTTGTACACGTTGTCATTAACGTGGCTTCACTCCACATCAGCCACGCC